GTCCCTTCCAACCCCTACCATTCTGTGACTTCGTGATCATAGATGGGGAAAGTGAAAACAAAAAAAATTATTTCAGTGCAGTGGATACTTTTCAGTGGATAGGCTGCTTGTGTGTATAGGCTTTTCCTTAAATGACCCCCCCCCCCCCCCTTTTTTTTTTTCTTTGAGAGCACTGATCTAGGTCCTGATATTTTCTTCCCAAGTGGTTTATAAGGCAATAGAAATAAAGCTGGAAACCAAGTCATTTTTTCAAGGCCTGGGTGACAAATGGTAATACAGTCAATTTTATATTTCAGGATGTCATGTCTAAAGGCAATGGTTAGTCTCCACCAAGATGCAGAACTGAATTGAGGGAAGACAACGTATGATTAAAAAATTCTAAAATTCTATAATGTGCTTTTTCATATTAAAGAATTCCAACTCCTTATCAACTGCAGCTGTAATTGTGTGAATTTGATACAACCTTTATGTTTCTTGATTTTTATGTTGTGCTTCAAGTTGTGTTTCCCATTTTCTTTCCTTTTTTAGCAGTGTGGGAAGAAAAGCATATCACGTGTTAGAGCTGCTTCACTCTTAAATGATCTAGATCTGCAGTAAATCTGATGATTTCTGAAAGTTCCAACCTAACAATATGCACACCTGCTCTCTGTCCTCTGCTTTCCGTTCAGGAGAGCGCTCAGACAGACAGAGAGCTGGTATTTGGAGCGTATGTTGCTGTAGAGTGATTCATGCAGCTTGCTTGGGGACAGTCTTTTTCCAATAGACTCTGCAAAGCCAACAAGAGAAGTGGGTGCAGGCTAAATTAGTTGTTTTGGTGGCTGCAGCTCTTTTCTCATCCATGGTTTCCATTGATGCTCTGTGCATTCCATAATTTTCTTTTTTTAGCTGCTTAACTAACTAAATTGGGTTCTGCCCATTGACATTAAGCATTACTCTAATGGAGGGAACATCATTAACTTGTTTGTAAGGCTCTGGCTTGAATCCAGTATGTATTTAACAGTCAATGTCAGTTTTTGAGGAGCAAGGGTGTGGCTGAAGTGAAGGGGTTTTTTATTACTGGAACACAGGGATTTTGATGTGTTGAGAGGCTGATGCATTTTCTTCTCTTCTTCCAAATGCTTTCTAAAAATGGATGTTTCTGTATGAAAATTTGGATATCTTACTCTTTCTTCTCAAAGTCTATCCTAAATACTTCCTAAAGGTGGAAGGAAAACTGCCCTACTTTGAGAGTAGATTTGCTTTTATAACTCTTTAAGATCTACTTGCATCTTATGTCTGTTGAAGAATTTCTGTAATATATTTACTCCTGCAGTTTAAGTACATCTCATGACCATATTGTATCTTGACCTGTAGATTGCCTTTGATCATCATCTTTTAGCTTCATAAAAGACTTAGATATTACATTTTAAAGTGCATATTTCTCGAGACAGAGAGGATAAAGAAGTGAGCATATATTACAATTTTATAATTGCGATATTGTATTCCAAGTGTATACATTCTTCTATAAATATTGTATGAATGTAATGAAATTTTTTTGTATGTACAGTCACTATTGTGATTTATCATTGTCCTTTACAATTGTAAGCTAAAGAATATATGATGGGCCTTTTGCACTAAATTTAGCAATGGTTGTACAATTTTTTATTAATATTTGCATTGCTCTTGTACCTAAACTTCCATGCAAATCCAGGGGAGCTGAATCTGCGCTAGAAATGGTATCTCTGCTTCCAGAGATTTAGTCCTTGGTATCTTTCCGTAGTTTTAGATTTGATTTCTGTGGTAAGCGGCTTTAAGCTTAACTTATTTTTGTTTTGGCAGTGTTTTACCTTCAGGAGATGGCCTCTTCTAAGTCTTTGATGAGCCTTTTAACCTTCACTTTTGGATCAGCAATAGGATTTTTCGTATGCTATCTCCTGTTCAGCATTATACTAGAAGAACAGGTTAAGATCCAGCCTCATATCCTTCACAATGATCCACATGGTCAACACTCGGCAGATCCTGATAGCAATCAGCTGCAAGGACAAATGAATTTCAATGCAGACTCTGGACAACATAAAGGTATTTGGCTATGCCTGATTAATTATATAATATGCCCCCTTTTCATGCATTGCAAAATGTTGCTTTCTTCACTGCCAAGAATTTGTATGAATTCTTTCACAATGTTCTTTCACTTTCCCTATGTTCGGGTTACATCTGAATAACTTTTTTCTCCTGAGGTCTCCTGAGTGGTGATTTTCTTTGTTTACTTTTTTATTACAGTAGTGATTATTTTTTTTTCCTTAGAGCCCAGCTGTTTGTCCAGTTTCTGCATCTGGACTTGTTTGGAGCAGGAACTTCTCAAATGAACTATTGACATCAAATGGTAGTTTTGCTAAGCAGATATATTTGATAGCATTGTAGATGTGGCTGAATTGCTTTTTACCTTAAAGATCATCTTGGACCACTTCTACCTTTTGATCTAGCCTCCTAGATAAAGCTTAAAAAAACCCCCAAGCAATTAACTTTTTGACACAATTCGTAAAACTTGGAATTGGGGTGGGGGGTAAGGGGAGGGTGACTGTGGGCATTGTTTGCCAAGGTGGTTAGGCAGCAATCCAGAACCAAATTGCTGTTTGTAGTCAAAACTAGAGAAATTCTGTTGCACCCTTTTTTTTTTTTTTTTTTTTTTCCCAAAGAAGGTAGACCCTTCTAATATCTCAGGCATACTTTAACATTTGACACATCTCATTAAATGAGTTCATTCTAAATCCTAAATACAGCTAGTGTCTGGATTGGGACAGTTTGGATGAGAAAAAAAACACTATAATGCATTTGCTGAAGAAGAAGTTAATAAGCAATTTGCTATTTAAATGTATTTAAACTGCAAACTTTGTAAGACAAGTTTGTGAGTGTTTCACATTTAATTGTAGAATATGGTACAAAGAAATCTGATCTGTCATTGCCTAAAGTGTAAGGAGGAGTGTTTTAGTACCAGTTATGCAGATCTCGCTCTCCATGGAATATTCTTTTACATAAGTTAAAGTCGCTCTGTCTGTATCAAGTGAAAATGCTTCTTTGAGGGAAATCAGTACTTTAGCAGCTTGGAAGACATTGGTACACACTTCAAATAATGGTATCTATTTATTCTATTGGATCATCTGCAAATAAAAACATTTTAGCACAACAATAATACGAGTTTCATAGTATCCGAACTTAATTAATATGATTTTTTTTACAACTAAGATTTAACTTGATTTTGTGATAATTCTTTCTCACGGGCTTACCATCTGCTTTTTCCTTCTAGAAATATTTTAGTAGGTTTTTTTTTAGTTAGCATGAATATTTATAACAGAGCTTATTAGCTTTTTTTTGACCTTTCTGTGTTGTAAACATTACGTTGCATTCATTGTGAATGGGAAAAATATTCAGCTTTTTAGTTTTAATTAGTCCTTCAACAGCATAAAGAAGTTGCCTCCTACAGTTTTTATGTACAAATCGGTGTTTTTTAAAGCCACATTTCCCTGAACAGGTTCCCATTTTGATATGGCTCCTATGCTCTCCTTTATCCTGTGAAGTTGGAGTAGCTTTAAGAATTTTAGTTTCTTAGTTTTGGGACTCTTGTTTATTTTCTTCCTAAATCTGACATTAATTTTATTAACTGGTACATTTGGAAGGAGATGCCTCTTCTCTCTCTGCATGTCTTTTCTGATCTAGAAACAGAATGTCTTGGGGGGAAGGTTGCTCTTAGTTTGTTTTGGCATCAAGTCTAATATTGTTTTGGAACTTTCCTCTTTTTTTTAGATGAGGATAAAAATATTGCAGAGGGACTTTATGAGAAGGTGAAAATACTGTGTTGGGTCATGACTGGACCTCAAAATCTAGAGAAGAAAGCCAAGCATGTTAAGGCCACTTGGGCCCAACGTTGTAATAAAATACTTTTTATGAGCTCTGAGGAAAATAAAGACTTCCCAACTGTGGGCCTAGAAACCAAAGAAGGCAGGGACCAACTGTACTGGAAGACTATTAAAGCTTTTCAATATGTATATGACCATTATTTTGATGATGCTGATTGGTTTATGAAAGCAGATGATGATACATATGTTATATTGGACAATTTGAGATGGCTTCTTTCAAAATACAGTCCTGAGCAACCAATATACTTCGGAAGAAGGTTTAAGCCTTATGTGAAACAGGGCTACATGAGTGGAGGAGCAGGATATGTTCTAAGCAAAGAAGCTCTGAAGAGATTTGTTGCTGCATTTAAAACGAACAAATGCTCTCACAGTTCCTCTATTGAAGACCTAGCACTAGGAAAATGCATGGAGATCATTAATGTGGAAGCAGGAGATTCTAGGGATACAAGTGGTAGAGAAACCTTTCATCCCTTCGTTCCAGAACATCACTTAATCAGAGGATACCTTCCAAAAACATTCTGGTACTGGAATTATAATTATTATCCTACTGTAGAGGTAAGTCCTTAGGCACTTGCTACCCATTTTATGAAATGCATCTTATCATGTGTACGATGTGTGAATTAGCAGTTTAATAGCACCTCAATGTATTTTAGAAAAGAAGATTTTGTTGTGATATCCTGTGATACACCTTTGTGTAGATGTGTGAAATGCACTCATCAACTGGAACTTGGTGCTGAGAACTTAACATTCTGGAAGAACTAGTGAATCTTAAATTATTGTTGTTTTGCTGTGTTCTGTGGACAGCAAAAAATGGTGAAACTTTCGTGACGCATTTGTCTAGTGTCAGCACCATGACCTTCCTTGTAAAGTCATTGTTCTGTTTTGTTCCCTCATATCTCACACACAGTGTCCCTAGCTTCTCCTCCAGCCACCCAACTCCCAGTGTGCGGTGAGAATTGAGACTGGCGTGGTTCATTCCAGGACGTGTGTGGTCACTGTACGGAGCCAGCTCACACAGCGTGGCTTAGTTACCTTAAAGCCTACTGAAAGAGAAGGTGGCACTGAGCCACCTTTATCTTCTACCCAGCAGCAAACTTTGTGTAAAACTTGCTCATGGTTGTAGTTGGTTGATACTGGCTAAGAGATTCCCAAGTTACTGGAGGGGCTGGTGGGTGATGGTGTGCATGACCGTACTGCCTGCTGGTCTGTTGCTCTTCAAATGGAGAAGATGTGCTGCAATGTGCTTCTCTTATCCCCGATCACTGTGTGCAGTGTTACCTGGCTTCAACACGGGGAGCTGCCCTGCCCTCGCTTTTTTATTGATGGTTGTTAAAACGTATGTGTGAGTGAATGCCGTTGACAAAACTACAGAAGAATAAATGTTGCTTAGAAGTGAAATAAAAACATGACCCAAACAAGGAAATATGATTAGATTTTAGATTTCCTTGTATAGTTGCATCGGACTCTTGTCTACCTTCTGTAGAAGTGGAGGCAAGCATGAGAGCTGGCAAAGCTAATGTTTTAAAAATTCTTTTGTTGTAGCAACAAAGATAGGACTTACAAGCTGAAACTTTCTTACTGCAAGAACTTCAAATTGTCCTTTGTGTTCCACATCTGAAATCCCCAGTTTAAAAAAAAGGGGGGAAGGGGGGGTCAGGGAGGAGGAGAGCACTACTTGAAATTAAAGCAATCTGAAGGTATTCTGTATTGTAAACTTCGATGGTCATATAGTCTGTGATGTGGCTTCTTTTTTAGGATTATCATCTCACTTTTAAAGTAGTTATTTTTCAGCAAGCTTTGAGATCAGCATAAGTGACCAAAATGAAGGATAGAATGTGGGATTTTTTACACAATAAAGCTGGAAAAAAAAAACCAAACACCCAAACTAGTTCTTCAATTGTAAAGCATCTATTTTTATACTTGTATTCAGTGGCTAGATCATTTCTGTCTTAAAACAGCTACAATACTGTATTTAGTGTCTCAGGATGCAGCAGCTTTAGCTGTGGTTGCAGTTCACAGATGGCTGAGCTGTAGTGATGCAGCAGTGGTGGGGATCCACAATGACAATCACATATTTGATCCTATCATAGTTGTGTTCAGATAGAGACTACTGCATCTGGTATCAAAACCAAGCTATACTGATCAAAGTTAGTAACTATTGAAAGAGTAACAATTATATAACAATCGTTCTCTTCAGTGTATTTAAATATTTAATCTTAGTTCCAGTTAGTGTTGGAATTTTAGCAGCTCTGCAATAAAATCTGGTGAAAAAACCCCACAAAACTATTTTCAGAAAAGTGTTCTCAAAGCTGAATTTGAGCTAGAAGATACAAGTTGTAACAAATGTGGTAATGATCTTTTAGCTCTTAAAAATGCTTAATAACATCAATTGAATTAATCAACTTTTTTTAAAAAGTAGTTCCAAAATGATTTGTTGCAGCTTTCTGTACGTAGGAAGTTAGATACTGGCAGTTTTGCCAAACTGTGTAATGTGTGAACACACACAGAGGTGCATGTGCACAGACATTTGGCTTATATACTCTGGATGGATGCTGTCATGAGTAACAAGCAGGTATTACTGTTCCATATAAAAATGCAATGCATTTAGACTTGCTTGCTGCTGCTTGCTTTTGTTTAAACACCAACATAAAGGAAAGAAGTATGGAAAAGCAAAAAACCTCCGAACGTTAATGAGGGCAGCTAGTTTTTTTACTGGCTTGATTACAGAAATGACTTTGTCCACCTTTATTTTCAAAAAATACTTTGTCAGATATGTCTGATACATTTTGCTTGCCTCAAATTAAGTTTTGAAGTGTATGAATGACTAACGATAGGGAATTTCTCACCATGAAGTTAAGTACGTGTTTGAATTCTTCCTGGATCTTTAATCCAGGGCATGCTTTGCAAGTCTTGCTGATTGTTTTGTCTTGGTTTGTATTTTAGGGTCCTGGATGCTGCTCCGATCTAGCAGTTTCATTCCACTATGTTGATTCCGTGACTATGTATCATTTGGAGTATTTGATTTATCATCTCCGTCCATATGGGTATTTGTATCGGTACAATCCTGATTCGGCAAAGAATCCAGAAGAACAGAGCAAAAATGAAGCACTGGAGGACAGTCAAAAGCTAAAGCAAAAAATTTCCGAGAATTAATTTGACTTCGAAGAAAACAAAAAGAAGCCAGTGCAATGGATAAGAGTCTCCTCAAACTCCTGCATGAAGCTTGTGGACTAAAATTACTCATGGTGATTCTTTTTTCAAAAATCCCGTTGACAGTACTTCCTGTCACTGTCTGTGTACAACAGAGTCTGGTGCTGGCTCTGACTGTTTGGGATAGTGTGACCTTACAGCCCTGCTCGTGATGATTTGGGGCCCTGAAGCTGTGAAATAGGAGGTTGTTCTGGTACACTAATAACTGGAAGAATTTGTATAAAAACCATAGTGGACAGGTTCAAAGATAATCATACAGGATTTCTGTTCCTTTTCTGTTCACTTCTATTTCCTTCCAGATGTTCTGTTAGGTCAGTTCTAATGTTAGAAATTGGATGCTGCACAGTCAGATACTTTGTGATGGCTTTCTCTGGTATTCTCAGTATCTTTAATTACTTTGTGTACCTTGCCCTGTAGGAAGAGAGAGGCATGGGAATAGTCTCAAGTCTGCTCTGGCTTAACAACAGACTGGTTATTATGGATAGGCAGAGATCCACCCAAAAGATTAGTCTGAATTGTTTCAGAAATGGAATTCACTGCTATGAATTATTTTTAAAATTTTTAAGTCTCTGTTGTACAAAACAATATGAAGTTGGATCACTACTGTTTTAGGGAGAAATCCAGAAGTAGTTACTGTTGTTTAAATTGCTGAGGTGATGATGCAAGCTGCTTACATAGTTGCCTGTGGGTTTGGGTTTTTTTTGTATTAACTTATCCCGTTGTTTGAATGGATATAAAAATTCATCTCAGAATTTCTCAGCATGAGATAAGGTGGATGCTTTTTGAAATAGTCTCTCTTCCATCACACCTTCCCTATAAACCAGAAAGAATAGTATCTTAACAAAGTTGCAATGGCACTATAAAAATTGGTTTCAGACAGTATTATAATTAGTTAGTTTCCATGTAGTTTTCATGTCACTATACTTTGAGATTGTGGAGTTACCTTCACGAAAATTTTACAGATACAAATAAGTCCTATTTTAAAACTGCGGCAAAGCCAAATTGACTGCTTCCCTACACATCTGGTTTATTTTGCTAAAGTACTTAATTTCACTTTTCTGAACATTCTTTTTTCCTCCACTTCTAAAATTTCTTCTGTGTCTGCTTCTTGTTACCTTTTTCAGAACAAAGTGTTAAATGATCCTCATTTCATGCTTTTTGAAGCTGAAGTATATGGTTATTCAGGTAAGCCAGCCTGAATGCAGGACTTTGAAAGTGCATTAACTTTTTCCACTACTTTATGAGTATCTCTGCCTCTGAATTGAAAACAGTTTCTTGGTGTGGGATAACACAGATGTTTTAATTACTGAAAAATTTTCAGAAGCCAAGCCTGTGTTTTATATAGTTAATGTAAAACTTTCTGTTTTTTCTCTTTTTCAAATTGAATGAATAGCAGTATGGGGGATGGGGTTAAGCTTGACATGTAGTGTGTCTTTATTCCACACTTGAACAAAAGTTTCTTCACCTTTTTATCACTTTTCACCTTCATCATATTGATGAATTTGGACATAACCTAATTACCTCCAGTCATTGTTTTAGAAAGGGCACATACTGGTAGCAGACAGCCTTATTTACTACTGCTGTCCTTCAGGATGTTCCTGGAAGAGGGTGTTACCATAAAGTACTGGATTTTTTTTTTATTTTTTTTTTCCAAAGATAGTTCTTGTACAGATTGGGGTTCAATCTGTTGTCCAACAATAAAGAGTCATGTCTTCCTTTCTGACCATTGCTCTGCAGCATGATGGCAGTTAGTGTTAGGTCTCATGGAACTGAAATATCACATATATCTTCTCTGCCTGAATATAGGCTGGGTTTGTATATCAGGTATTAGTTAAATGAATAATTCCTGCAGGGTTAAATCTGTTGGTCTTTTATGAGCAAGACTGCCTCTAAAGTACTGAAAGGGACATGAGCTTTATTTTATGTTAATCAACTTAAGTAGAAAATTATAACTGTATTTGTTTAAAAAAAGGAAAAAGTCTCCAGTTTGCTCTAGTCAGAGGGATGCTTGTCCAGAGGAGAATGAATGGCACCATGCTGAGAGGTCATTCCTTCTGTGAGCTAAATGTTTATCTCACGTGCAGCACAAACCAAGAATGTTGTGAAATCCACATGGTATTGATAACCCCAGTGGCACTGTTCAAACATGCAATTAAGATTTTCTGGAATACTTAAGGAAGTTATAAAATGAAATCAAGATCCCAACTTAAACTCCTTGTAAATTCAGCCCCTGTAGAAGGTCTGCTGAACTACTACAGTTCATCCATGGGGATCTAAAGATTGTCTTTCACAAGAGGCAGGATAATTTTGCATATTTTCTGCAGATGTGTCCCATGTTTGCCCTGTGCTGCCCCGTGAAGTAACATAATTTCCTCTACATGTTCATTTCTACCCTGATTATCCTGCCTTTGGGTTTTCAGTGTCATCATGCATAAGTCTCAGGTGGACAAGCGGAATCGGGCAGTGAGATATTTGAGTGCCACGCAGGTTGGTTGCTGAGGTGGCAAGTCAAGCCAGGCACTGCTGAGCTCACAGTGGAGCCTTTTCTCCGCAGCAGTTCTGATTCTTGTCTGCTGCCCTACTGGGGCTTGTGGGTTTAGCAGCATGGGGCAGGAATGTCCCTTTCCACAAAACATGCAGGACCTCAGGGGGAATGGAGAAATAAAGGAACAAGTGCCATTTCTTGAGGGAATAAGGCTAGGAACAAACTACCCTGTAATAAATAGGTGGTCCGTCTGGAGAAGTAAGAGTAGCCTTTTCTTCAAACATCCATTCTTGCTTTGTTTCAAAGTGTCCTTGCTCTTAGGCATCTGAATTGATTTATTTGCCTTTCTAACAGCACTACAAAGAATTTTGTTTCCTTCCAGACAAGCTAGAAAAGTTTTGGGTTTTATATTCTGTGATTATAACAAAGGACTGTTGTTCATTGTTGGATTGTGTTGCCACAACAAAGAGCTGATACCTCTGAAATAGTTGGTTTGTATCTCACTCCCTTCAGAAGTTTCACTAGTCGAGATTGGGATGTGAACAGTTAGCATAATTTTCACGTACAATATTACACTACTATTAGTAGTTTGTAATTTCACTCTCAGGTCTTTGTGCTTTGGGAAAGTATTTAAGTTTGTGTATTTCTGCCCAAAGAGGCTACTCTGTTTCAGGTGGATTGACCTTTCTGAAGCACAGCAAGACAGGCTCTCTTAGGCTATAGTGATTATTGCTCTGTGGTTTTGTTTTGTTTTGCTTCTAAAAGCGGTTTCTTAATTTTATAAAACTTAAAAGCTTCCATTGGCACCGTACTGATTTAAATGACCAATCTAAAAGTTTTGAACTAGTTTTCTTGAAATTAGGCAGCAGTTGTTTGCTCTTGGATGTGGGTATGTCACTTAGTGTAGCAGGGAAACATTTTAACCTTGTGTTAGGTGGTCAGGAGGAATGAGAATGCCAAGAAGTTACCTTCTGATCACTGTTTATAATCAGAGGACAGAATTAAGCTTTCTTGGCAGAAAAAGACCAATTTTAACGTTCTTTCATTCCCAATTCAGTTTTGCAGTTTATATTGGTCTTATTTAAGAGGTTAAACACTGGTGGCGTTAGCACCATCTCTCATTTTGTGGAAGCTCTTTTCCTTTTTCTTTTGTCTTTAAGGACACTTTTGCTTTGGTGGGGGTATATATTAAAAATAACTTTTTCTTCACATGTTGCCATTTGTTCTGTTACAATTCCAGAAGTATAAATTTTAGTGAGTAGCTGATAGGCCTCTTACAATAATTTTGCTGTCTGAGCAGGGTGTTTTATATTTGTATGACAGAAAAGTGCAGGTTGTTTCTCTAGTGTACCTGCTACTGATGTGGATAGTGTACGCACAGATGAAAACAGATCTCCCTATACTGGACCACTTGAAAAGGCAATTTTGTCCTTTTTCTATCGAGAAAAGCTTCTGTGGAACTCAAAAGTGTAATTTGCTTTGTTTTACCATATTGTATTTAAAATACTCCACAAATGTTATTAATGCTCTAAAATAATTGAATATTGCTGCTGGGCAGTATGCTTCACTTAGAGCCTGTGAATGTTTCACTTGGTAATTCTAGGTAGTCATGTCCCTAATGGCAAGTATGGATTGGTGACTTGTCTGGAATGATCACCGTAAGGATTTCTTCTTAAATACCTTCTTTGAAGTGCCTTTGACCAATTTTTAGCATCAAAATTAAGTTGAGAATTGAATAAATAAAATAAGTTCTCTCATACAACAGTGCACGTCTGTCTTCATTTACCTCTCCTGTATGCTGGTAGTGTAGTGTAGCTGCATGACTCGGTGTAATAAAAACTTTTGATTTTCTTTTTCCTTGGGTGGGTACAGGAAAGTCAAAAAGCTTCTCACACTTGCTATGTTTTCTGTTACTGTGTTTATGCTATTAACAAGTAGCAAGCTACCTTGAAAACAAAGATGGTAATTTTTTTTCAGTGTAAAGTTAATCAGAAGTGCTAGTACTAGATTCACAGAAGCAGTCTGTTGTTTCTGCATTGTCCTGATTTTTCAGTGTCTCCACGCTGTTACAGAGTCCTCAGTGAACTAGCTGTAGCTGATACCTCAAAGATAAAGCAAAACTGTTCAAAATTAACCACCTTTAAAATAAAAGTACTTATTCTTTCAGTGAACCTCTTACTTCTGCAAGAAACCCTGTTAAGATTTAAATGTCGTGCTTTCTAGCCTAGCTTTCTGCTCTTCATAATATTTATCAGTAAAGAATATTCCAGTTATGCAGATGGGAAGTGTCCTTCGGTGTGTAATGTAGGCACAGGCACAGTACAGCTGTGTTTCATTACCTGAAGGACTGTAATAGACCCTGCCAGCACTATTAACGGGGATTAATTAACTGTTTCATTTCAGAGTGCAGGAAGTGTGTGACAACCAATGTTAACTGTGCTCTAGAGCAGGAATATTT